AATTTCATGAGTATGATTGTATGAAGTATTAAAGGACAAAGATACATTTTTACCTTATTTTCAAGGCTATACAATTGCTTAAAAAAATCATTTTGTTTATTTATATAGAATACAATTCTGAAAAAATACTTGTATTTGTAATCAAATACTTTGTGAGTATACGTAAAATACATTTTTATAATAGTATTTTGAATACTATTTTATTTGAATACCTACTAGTAATAGTATTTAAATATTTATTTGAAAGTATTTTTTACAAGCCTGGTGTTAAACACACTTCTGATTATACCCTGTTCAAATGCATTCTACATTTGAGTAAAATAAAAAACATTTAATACAAACAAAACTCATATTTATTATTGGTAGGTATCGTAGTCATATTATTATATAGTAGTTATCGAAAAAATAAAAAATAAAATACAAATACAAATTATATATAAGTAGTTATATTATTATAAAGTAGGTACCTATAGAAAAAATACAAATAAAAAAATAACAATGGTGGTAAAATGATTCGATACCATTCATTCGATACTACCTTTGTAGTATCAGTTTAGACACGACCACCAAGGGAGCTAACTATCCACAAGGGTCATAAACACTCGCTACCTCACCTAGGAGTTGTCTTTTTGTAAGCTGTTTTACTGTCTCGGTTGCATGTGTTTGAATGGAAAACGTATCCTTAGTCGCATTGTATGACATGCCCAAGAACTTAATGTCCATCTCCAAGTGGTCCTGCAACGGCAAACGCGTGACACAATGTTCAGCTGGAACTCCCTGTAACACAACTGTAAGTCACTGTAAGTAAAATTACTAGCCCACTTCCGTAATGAGTCTACCTTGTTATAATAGACTTATGAGTTCTCGCTGCAGCTCGACCAACTCATTGGCAGAATCACGTCCAGTCATGACCTCGTCCACATAAAAGTCTTGACGAAGTACTTTTGATGCTGTCGGTTGTGACGCCGTCTAGTCATCAGCTAACTGACGTAGTGTCCGGATAGCTTGATAGGGTGATGTCATGAGGCCATAGTGTCGGTATTGTTGAATAGGATCCGATGGATCAGCACGCCATAAAATACATTGATATTTCCTGTCAACCGGGTGCACTAGAATTTGTCGGAACATCTGTTTTATATCGGCGCTGAAAACAAATCGTGAAAATTGGAAGTTAATTATGACACTTACAATGTTGCGTTGTAACTTCTGACCTTTATGTAGATAGTCGTTAAGTGACTGACCTGTGTTCATAACGCTAGACCCGTCAAAGACAACCCATAACTTGGTCGTGGTGCTGGATGGTCGACAGACATGATGATGTGGGATGAAGACGAGTGGCTGTTGTTCATCCTGAGTACTCACCTTTTCCATATGATTGACCCACAGATTATATGAAAAGTAATAGAAAAGTAAAATATGCAAATTGTTGTCTCAAAATTTATTAATTTAAATTTATCACAATATCAAACAATATAAAAATTAAACAATTAAAAAATGTTAGAATGCAGGTAAATTACAAATAACTTACAATTTTTATTATAAACAATTAAAAATAAATAAATATTATAAATTATAAACAGAATCAAGAACAACATTTTAATACAAAGTCTTTCTTTCTAATTTATTTATAAATTAAATGATTTAATATACCTACACAATTTTCTATTTTTTTTTGTTTTTCTGATATTAAATTTCTATTTAAAAATTTAATAGCAGCATGAATCCTAAATCTTATAAAATAATTAATTAAATACTCTTTATTAAATAGTGGACACGGATGTCGAAATACAACATTAGTCTTACTTAACTTTAACTTAATACCTACCTACTTCATTTTCAATAGATAATTGTGGAAACCTACTTATAAAAATGTTTTCTAATTCATCTATATAATCATAAAATTCATGTTGTGGCATCATTAAATTGCCAAATATTGATTTTTCTGAATTTTCATATGCTTTGAAATAACAAAGTAAAAAAGTCATCCAAGCAGAGTCCAACAGCACACGACACAGTTCATTTCGTCCATTAGGTCCATGTACACGTACCAACGCCGTAGACAGAAGTACTGATGACAGTGAATGTGACTTTCTTACTGTCCTGTTGTCTTACCATAGTAGCCTGTGAAACGGTTTTTGTTGTTGTCTTTGGCTTACTAGGACAATGCCTAAACTGCATGATCTCAAGAGCATGAACTCGATTCTCTATGAATTCACCCAAATTGTGCCATGGGGGAAAGTTAACATAGCTGGTCGACTCAATTTCCCAAGTCTTCCTCATCTCAGGTGACAGCTTTGTAGATACCAGATGAACGAGTATGTCATCCCAATACTTAGTAGGACGTCCTAATGCTTGTAATGCCCTCACATGTTTGTTGGTGCAATCAATTAGGTTTTTTAATGCAATTGCAGACTCCTGCTGAGCAGCACCTAAGCTGTGAGAACAAATGATGCATGTGTATTTGAAACACCAAGTACTTGTTATCATATCTACTTATAACAGACTTCCAAGCTTCTGTGTAATTAGTTGCATTCGACGACAGTGATGATATGACTGTAGCAGCTTGCATAGGCGGAACTAGACATTTTAATTAGACTGGGCCACTCATGAGACTCAATTTACACCTATCATACTCAAAAGAAATAAGGGTTGAGGGTGATAAGGAAAATAAATGTTTTTTACATAATACATATTATGTATAACATAGGATCTTATAAATCTAAAATTGTATCACTAAACTTAAATCTTACATGTGAAATACCGATACTAAAAAGATACTTAAACAGAAACTAATCATTATTCTTGGTTTTAATAGGTAATTTTGACCAAATTTGAACTTAAAATGTCTGTAAAAAAAATAACCGTGTTTACATATTTTTTAGTTTTTTTGGTTACAGTCGGAGTTATTTATGAAAATCTTTGTTTTAAATTTTCAATTCTTAGTTATAAATACTAAACATTTTATAATTTTTTAATTACAATGGTAGGTACATTTTCGAGATTTTGATAAATATTGTCAAAATTTGAACTTTAAATGCTTATAAAGAAAAAATTGCACCTACCTATGTATTTTTAATATTTTTCAACTGTTATAACAATATATTATTACTCTATGCAATATATCAGGAGCCTTAAATTAAATTTTCACAAATTTTGGCCTACCAAATAAAATTTTATTGATTTTTATAAAAAAAAATACTAAAAAAATTGAAAATTGAAAACTGAAAATGTCTGTAAACAGTTCAAAACAAATTAAAATATTGTATGGTGTATAGACAATGAGAATCTAAACATTCAGTGAAATTTTTATGCATCTAAAATTATTCGTTTTTAAATAACAACAAAATAACAAAAATGCTATATAAGACTGTGATTATCGCTCAGAATCTAAAAAAATTATAAATTTACAAAAATATCGGTATTTTACAATAATTTTACAAATTTGATTCGATTTAATTCATCTAATCATATTATTCATATTCATTGTTGTTTTTTAGAAAGAATCGATACATTTAATTTAGATAATGATTTATGGCTACATCACAGATATATATAGAATAGTTTATTCTATATATCCGTGGGCTACATCACAAATTGTAATCTCCCGTTAATAGCTTTATCAGTATTTACTATTTACTATTTAGGTACTTGGCTACATGGGCCCTATATTCTATAATATTTACTTGCACACCCACTAATGTACACCAAGTTGTGGCATTGCGAATTTCCATATTAATATATCGAAGTACATTTGGTTTGAAAACTAATAACTAGATATAATAAATACCTAAATCTTACATTCTTACATGTATAGTAATTCTTTATAGTATACAATTAATTAAATTTAACAATTCAAAATAAATATAAAATTAATAATTTACTTGTCCATTTTGCTAACCAAGCATCTGTATCCTCAGTGGCTCAGTCCATTCACCAGTAGGTATGGTCGTCAAATAAACAAAAACTATTAAAATAGTACCTAATAACTATATAATGTCTATACTTGGATTATTCGATAAACGATAACGGTTAGGAAATTCAAACACAATAATAAAAAAAAAAGATAAAACTCGTACTGTACGTATGCGCTATGAAAATAATATGGCGAGACTCGCAAAATGACATATAAAAATAAATATCAATAATTTAAAAACTTTTGATAATGATTTGATTTCGATGACCAGTTGTTGTAACTTGTAATACTATTAAATATATTTATTTTTAACATATAAACTATTCTATTTATTACGTAAGTTAATTTCTCAATTTTTTTTTGCATTTATAACTAATTTTTTTATTACATTTAAAATAATATATTCTTAGCAAATGTATACATTAACACGGAACCAATTAGCCTGGGCCATGGCCTAGTTGGCCCAGGCCGTAGTTCCGCCTATGGCAGCTTGTCATACTAAACTTGTTTTCAAATAGTACATTTTTTCGGTGTTGTTTATGTCTTTGTTTTTATGTACCATTGTTTCAAATTGATCCTTGAATGAATACCATTCTTCTAAATTACCTCCACATTGTGGTATATTGATTGATGGTAGCCGGATGTTCTGTTGAACACACAAATTAAGATATACAGGATACCGAACAAACGTGTGATAAGTGAGGCCCTAACCTTCTCACTTCTTGGCTGGGCCACTAACACCATCTAGTGTACTATTTACAAACTATGTCAATATTTAATTTCCCTCAAATTTTGAATTTTGAAATTATACAATATCACAAATTGTAATAATCTACATAAATCTTATAAATTCATGATAATTAACTATCACCACGATTTAAGATATATCACGTGACTATCACGAATTAAGATATATTAAGATAATTATAGACATTATAATATGGCTAAATATTCCTTTATAGGTCTATGATAATAAATAATTATATTATATTATATTTTGTATTCATCTTTAATCGCTGTGAGCTACAAGAGCATGGGATTCCACATTTAGTTGGAGTTTTGCTATTTGCTTAAAACTTGCCTGAATATGCCTTTTTTAGACAAGTGCTGTGTCGAAAATTGTATGGGAATATCTAAAAGTAGATTTAGTGTTCCTAAACTTTCCCATGAAAAATGGGAAAAAGCTTTAGGAAAAGTTTTAAATAAAAGGTCTAGAGTTTGTGGAGACCACTTTGAGCCACAAGACATTATAAATACTTGGGTATCAGGCGAAGGAAGTAGCAAGTACACCGTAAGTATAAATATAAAATAATTAACTTATATAATAAATATTAAAATATAGGTAAGATCCTACAATATCGTTATTGCCTAATTAATAAAAAAAAACCACCTACATTGTATAATTTTTAAATTGTGTACAAGATATGTTTAAAAAAGCCTCGTTTGAGGTCTGGAGCTGTACCTCTACTCTATTAAGCAACTGCTCAAATGAAAACATTATAAGTGAAATTACAAAATCATATTGTGAAGATACATCTATAGCTTCTAGTTTATGTGCTCAAGATATATCATATGTGAGTATGATTCAAAGTTAGTGCTAACCTATTAATTAATATACAATTGTTTTCATTATTTATAGATTCACAGTTCTTCTAGTGAAAATCAATCAAATGAAATGGAAAAATCTAATTCATATTGCGAATATCCATAATATCATATCCATTGCTTCTAATAGCTCATGTACTAAAGATATATCATATGTGAGTATGGTTCAAAATTAGTGCTATCCTTAATTAATATATTTTTTTTTTGATATTAATTAATTAGCAGTTCTTTGAGTCAAAATCAAACCAGTGAAATGGAAAAATCAAACTCATTTTATGATAATATTACAAAAGAAACAGTTAAAAGCTTTACTCAGGATTCTTCTTATGTAAGTATAGCACAATAATTTTACAAGTAAAACCAATATCAATGTACTATTATGATTTATGATTTTGGAACTGTGCAGGAACCTATATTTGATGTCCTCACAAAAAAAAAACATGTTAAACAACTGCCACATAATTGGTCTCAAGATCTTTCCATGAATGAGTTTGATGAAAAATTAACTGTTTCATTTTTTAAACTAGGAAATTTTAATACTAACTACCAACGTAATATAGAAAAACAGTTGATAGTTACTGAAGGTATGAAATTATTAAAATGTTGATTTTTAGTGCTTTTACGTTTTTCTTTTTTGCATTAAAATTAGTAAATCATTGTTTAAATATAAAATGTTATATATATCTAATTAATTATACTTTAATTTGTATAGATTCACATCTCATAGTTCAAGTTCATAATGAAAATGTGTCTCTTGATCAACAAACAACTTTATTTCCTTCAACATTAAATAGAAACATATCCATTGAAAACATTCAAGAAATCATTAATATCTTTGATTCAGTGAATATTTGTTATGGAGCAGTTCTAGCAAGTAAATATCCACATATTAAAGCTTCATTTGGCCATCAATTCCAATTTGAAGATGGTTATTGGAAGCATTCAAAATGTTTAAAAATCATTTCAGATAATGGGTAAGTGATAGCTTTAAAAGTAGGCATTAATATAAAATATGTACCTACTATATAAAATCATTGCTTTTCCTCAAAATTTAATCAAAATATATACATAAAAAAAACTTAAGTTATGCTGATATATTTAAGTAATTATTGTTTAAAGTTCTAGTTGTTTATGGTGTAAGAGATTGAAGTTTTCAATAAGAAAAAAACTTAATCAAATAACTAAAAAAAAAACAATAAAAGTTTATTTTTCGCCACTAAAAAAGGCAGCTTTGCAAAAAGTAAATAAAACAAGAAGAAAAATGAGGCAGAAAATCAGTAGAGCAAATAAAAAAATCTCACAATTGCAGTTGGATATAAATGAAGCACAAAATAAAATAAATGAAATGTCAGAAATTGACTTATCAAAATTAATTGAAGATTCTAAAATTCCGAAATGTCAATCAACTTTATTGCATGAAATTTTTGCAGCAGCTAAGTATAAAAATGCTAAAAGTAGACGTTATTCCGAAAGTTGGATTATCCTTTGTCTTCTTTTTCAGATACGGTAGGTACAAAACACTTTCCTTAATAAAAAATTTTTTTATAAAATTTAGTGTTTTTGATTTTTTATAGGTCTTATAACACCTCACATATTTATAGATTTGAATGATCAGTTCTATGGGGTGTTATGTGACAACCAGTTGTATAGGTAGGGTCGCCAACCAGAGCCCGAGACCGAAGTCAGGGTACTCTGGATTTCTTTTTTTTTCATAATAAAGGAATATATATATATAACACAATTCTGCTTTATTATAATCGTTATATATATTTTTGAGAATCAAATGATAATGCGAAGTTATAAACAAAGAAAAGCCTTGCGGCATAAAAACTTTGTTCAAAAAAAATAAAGTTAAGTAATAAAATGTAGTAAAATAACATAAGTAATGTCATCGAATATGACTTGACACATCATGCAAAATAATAAAAATAATAAAGTGTATCGGCCATACCACGGGCGTCCGACCACGGCATAAGTAATTGACTATTATCAATTACTTATTTCTATATTTTATTTTTTTTTTTTTTTTACTTATATACCGTATCCTACGGCTGCGGTACGCCTCGGGCTACCACACATATATATATATATATTACAATGATATTGATAAAGAATAAGATTATAGAACATAGTCTGACATTTAAATATTTTACATGCAATAAAAATAGTGAATACCGGCCAAGGTGTGATAATATCTTTTTGTTTTTTTTTATATTTTGAATTTTTTGTACTCACGTACTCCGGCCCATCTTAGTTATACCCGCCACGGGCGCACCGGAAATGATCTGCGGTAGTTTACTCCATATTGTTGGTGCTCAATAATATGGACAAAAAAAAATCACGCGGAGCTGATTCCGCGTGTGTGCGTGTTGGGAACGGTGACACGAAAAAGTGACGAGAAAAAGAAAACATTGGCCAATATTCACTACTTTTAATTGCGAGGTTTCTTATGCAACCTTTGCTCTCGCGTCGGGTATTGTTCATCGGCGATGCGGCGGAGGGAGGTTACCGATGTAGTGCAGCGGTGTTATCGTCACGACACTGATCTAGAGGAGGGAACATTATAACTTGGCCAGCACTGTATTGATGTATAATTTCGAACGTTACAGAAACCCCCCTGTAGAAGTGTACCGGGCTTGCCGAGGGACGCTTCTGCACACGAAAAGGGAGAAATTGTAAATAATTAACATTAACATGGTATAGGGGTCGTTTTCCGGGCTTCGCAGAGGTACATTGGTATGGTGGACCTTATCCCTCATACCAACATTATTGTGCTATTGTGGTTTTCAGACGGACATACTTTCGGAGGAAGATCACGTTAAATGTTCCTCGTACCTGATTCGTTACAGGGTCGTTTAACACATACGCGTTATGGTTTTTTACTTCGATAATATTGTATGGACCTTCATACAACATGAAAAATTTTTTAATCTGTCGGTCAACAGCTGAGGAGGAGTGATGGGTACGAACTAGGACTTCATCTCCTATAGAAAATTTTGTGGGTTTCCCCTGACGATCATGGCGAATGCGGCGTTCTTCAGCTTTGGTTCGTTGAACCTCGGCGGCCATGGTTAACTTGACTGTATAGTCATCAGCGGGTTTTGGGGGGCACTCTACGGCTTCATAAATCGGACTATATCGATCTTCTTTTAGAAAAATCTCACTAGGGGTAAAACCAGTCGCCTCATGCACAGTATGATTCAGAACCCACTCAATATATTTGACATAACGGGGCCATTCAGTATGATTCTGGTGACAATAGGTCCGAAAAAGTCTACCTAATTCTCGCATAACCCTCTCAGCCGGGTTACTTTGGGGATGATACACACTAGTAGTAGTTACAGACGCACCAATGGCTGTAAGACGAGCCTGCCATACTCGGCTGACAAACTGGACGCCATGGTCGGAGACAACGGTCTTTGGAGTACCGTGGATGGCCACATAATCGTTAATCATACGATTAGTCACGACAACGGCGGTAGATCGTTTTATTGGGAACAATCTAACGAACCGTGAGAAACAATCGAGGACGACAAAAATATATTTTACATGGTTCCACCCAGATGGTAAGGGACCATAGAGATCAACACAGACACGTTGAAGAGGTGCGGTGGCTAACACATTTTGCATTTCGCCCTCTGTCCGTACTGTCGAAAACTTCGCACGTTGGCAGAGGTCACAACTTTTGACAATCCTGCGGACGTTCCCACTCAGACCACGAAAGAAACACACATCCCGGATTGCTGAAATGCATTTCTTCGGACCGACATGTCCGAAGTGTACATGAAACTTGGTAATAAGTTCATCAACTCGATGCAGAGGGACGCAGACTAACCACTTATCGGAGGAGAGGTGTCGGCGATAGAATAAGATGTCCCTATACATGCAGTAACGCGCTGTGATTGCGGTCAACACCCACGAACTTCCAGATAAAACATCAATAACTTTCCGGATCCTTTCGTCCCTTCGTTGTTCGGACAATATATGATTGAAAGCTTGAATATGGGATTGATGCTCAGAAAACAACTTACTGGGAGTGGTCATGAAAATGTACGGTGAACGATACTGCCCAGCGGTTGCATCACGGCCGATAGGATTGCGAGATAGAACATCGGTTATATTACTAGGACCGCTGATATGTCGAATCCTCAGATCAAATTCTTGAAGCACAAGCGTCCAACGAGTAAGGCGTGCATTTCGAAGCCTACACCGGAACAAAAATGTAAGTGCTTGATGGTCAGTCAACACATGAATGGGGTAACCAAGAATGAACACCCGGAACTTATTACACGCAAAAACTATAGATAAGAGCTCTAGCTCAGTTACAGTGTAATTTTCTTCTGCGGAGTTCAACGTTCGACTCGCAAACCCAATCGTTTGTCTCTCAGAGGAAGTATTGATTTGAAACAATTCAGCTCCGAGTCCGAGGTTACTTGCATCAGTTTGTAAATAAAAGTCAGAGTTGAAATCAGGGTGAGCAAGGAAACGTTCGGTAAATGCTGATTTGACAGAATTAAAATTGGATAGATCGTTTTCTGTGAACTGCCACGGAACCCCCTTTTTCAAAAGGTTAATGAGTGGACCAATAAGCGACGCGTGATGGTCGGCGAATTTCCTATAAAAATTGCAGAACCCTATGAACGACTGAAGGTCCTTTTTGTTGCGTGGCACTGGAAAATCGTGAACAGCTTGGAGTTTGGAAGGGTCCATGGACATTCCTGAAGGTGTGATGATGTGGCCCAAGAACTTGATTTTGTCCCGGAAAAATTTACATTTGCTGAATTTTAAAGTCATTCCAGAGACAGCAATCTTTTTGAATAAAAGTCGAAGGCGACATAGGTGGTCATTAAATGACGTCGAAGACACGAGCA